TTTCTGTGCAGATTAAATTCACTGTCTTTTCAGTGGAAGTTATAAACCTTCTGGGGCAGGGAACTGAGCACTTGAGACGCAAAGCACTAATGAATTTTTCATATAACAATCTTCCTTGCTGTGAAGAAAAGAGGATGTATAGCTGGCTTTGGGTTCTCATGAACTTCTCCAGAAAGAGGATAATTGAGCAGCCATTTGAAAGTTTCCCTTTAGTTATGAATTCCCCTGATGGATGTAAGCTAAATTTAAAGTTCTCTGCTCAAGGATTAACCAAAAAAACTGTGAGGAAGTACAACTGGGTGATGAGAAGGCATTTTCAGTTTATATGACTTCAATAAATAACCAGCATTAAATTCAGCACTGCACAAAGTGTTAGAGAAAGACCTTAAAAGTTATCTAATGAAATCTATTTTATAGATTAAAAAAAAAAAATTGTGGCCCAGAAGGAAGTGATATGGTCAGATACTAAAATTCAAAACCTTATAATTTATTCTGGTCTAGAGTATTGCAAATGTCTCTTGTAGAAGTGAATTTTTTCTTATACTTTCTTTTTGTTTTTTCCCAAATGGCAGACATTTCAACTTCCAATTTGGGCTTAAACAAATTGTAAAAGTTGTTAGCTGAAGAAATCTACTGAATAGTTCTCATGTATGACTTTATCCAGGCATTGAACAATAGCATCCATCTCTCTTGGCTCTACAAAATCTATGTTGCTGTCATTTTCATACTCCACATGGTGATAAGAAGACTGCCTACAACACCAGGCTCATACCCTCCGAGAGTCAAGCCCAACAGAAAAAGCAGCTTTCTTGCTCAGCAGTCTTGGTAACACTTTCATTATATCCCATGGACTTCAAATGGTTCCTGTGTCCATCCCTGAGACAATCACTGTAGTCAAGAGAGTGTGATGCTCTGATTGGCCAAACCTGAGTCACATACCACCACTAACGCCTGATGGGAAATCAATGCCAGAGGAAGCACATGGGATGGGTGTGAAAGCGGGAGTGGTTCTTCAGAATAGAATTAGAGAAGGTTTATCAATGAGAGGAAAGAGTAGATTCAGGAGAGAGACAAGCACTATCCACCACACTTGCTAGCCAGTTTCCCTGCCTCCATTCTCATTACTTTCCTTCCACTCATCCCTTAAGTTCTTAAAAGTCATTATTTTGAATGCACCCTAAATAATTTCTCTAGCATGCAGATCTGGCTTGAAACACATTGAAAGGCTGCCCATTGCCAAAGATAAAGCTGAGGTTAGAGAAGTATCCAAGCTCTCCATGACCTGGAACATTCACATGGCCTCTCTCTGACCTGACCTAGGTCAGTTTCAAGTTTCAAGTTTCATCTTACTTCCTGCCACTTACTTCCTGCTCCCCCTCACTCCTGTTCTCACTAAATTACACTAATCCTTCTACAATCAGCTAGGGCATTATATGTCCAGGAAATTTTTCTAGAACTTAGAATAAGTTCATGTTTCCAAAGCAACCTTTTCTTCTCCTCTACATTCAACTTACTTCTTTTTTTCTTTTTCTTTTTTTTTTTACTTTAAGAAATATATTGTTTTCTGCACATCACAGTCACATCACTTTTATGATGCTAGAGAAGAATTTAAGTGGTGGGCAAAAAAAGTTTAATTTTACATGCATATTTTTATTCATCTCTGTTTCTACCTAAAAATATACTTTATCTTTTACCACCAGCGTCAGTAGTCCTCTAACATCAAAAGGGGGAAAATACTGGTTTTACTTCAACATTTTATTGAACTTCTCATATTACATAATTTACCCAAAATATTTAAAGTGCTAGTGAGACAAAAACAACTTAAAAAAAAAAACCACATACAGACAAAATACCTCCAGGTGAGGTAATGCTGTAATAAGATTCACGGTCAAATCACAAGTTTTTGTTACTCTGCTATACAACTTGGTACCATATCAATGATATTAAATGATTCAAAAGTTAAGACATTACACATTCAGTTTGTGTATGTGTGCTGAGAGAAATCTCTTATGTACAACGACTTGAAAAACAGAAATGCCAACATTAAATGTCATTCAAATTCAACTTACTTCTTTTTTTTTTTTTTTTGAGACAAAGTCTCGCTTTGTTGCCTAGGCTAGAGTGAGTGCCGTGGCGTTAGCCTAGCTCACAGCAACCTCAAACTCCTGGGCTCAAGCAATCCTTCTGCCTCAGCCTCCCAAGTAGCTGGGACTACAGGCATGCGCCACCATGCCCGGTTCATTTTTCTATATATATTAGTTGGCCAATTAATTTCTTTCTATTTATAGTAGAGACAGGGTCTCACTCTTGCTCAGGCTGGTTTCGAACTCCTGACCTTGAGCAATCTGCCCGCCTCGGCCTCCCAGAGAGCTAGGATTACAGGCGTGAGCCACCGCGCCCGGCCATCAACTTACTTCTTTGCGTTGAAACTCTGCTGATGTCTTGTTGCTTCTTCTATTCTATTTCCTCCTCAAGGATAAGAGTATATTAATTTATCCACAGAGTCTTTTAAATCCTTACACTGTGCCTGGCACATGAGTATGTCCAGGCAGTATTTGCCAAATTGAGCTCTATTGAATTATTGGCAAAGCTAATATGAGATATTGGAAAGCGCTTGTAGTTTGGAAACAAGCTTTGAGGTGAACTCTTTCTTCTATTAACTCCCAGTATTGTTTTTGGAAAGTTCTTTTATTTTTTTGGCTTCGTTTTTTTTCCTTTTAATTTTGGACCTTTTTTTTTTTTTTTTTACTTCTTTTTTTTTATTTCAGCATAATATAGGGGTACAAATGTTAAGGTTACATACATTGCTATTGCCTTCCCTCCCCCCTCGAGTCAGAGCTTCAAGCATGTCCATGCCCCTGACAATGGACAATGCACAATGCACTTATAATGTATATATATAAACCCATCCCCTCCCCCCACCTGCCTGACACCTGATAAATATATATATTTTTTTATTTATAACATTTTGGTTAGATTTTATAACTTTGCCTTTATTTACCAAAGGTTAGAGGTATGCTCTTCCCCTCCACACTGTTCACTGCAATGAAACATTTCTTTTTTCTTTTTTTTTTTTTTATTTTTACCTTGAAGGTTTATTGCGAGATCCTGCAAAGCTTTCAGCACAATTTTGGGCATGTCCAGGAACTATATTACGGTGGTGGGATTGGAATCCAGATCTCCTGAATCAATCCACTGCACCTAGCAACCTTACATCAAGCTTCTCTCAGTATCTACTGATTCTGATTATGTTACCGAAAGCTTGGCACTTGTCCTCAAGGCTACATCAGAAGAACAAGAACAAGTGGTTTGAGAAGAAGGAAAGAGAAATTTATCACTTTGGCAGGAAAGGAGGAAAAATGGTAGACCTTCTTGTCTCAAAATCCAAATTTCCTGAACATCAGCATAAATACAGAGCTTTTAAAGAGAGGGCCTTCAGTTCTAGGCTATTGTGGTTAACTATTCTAATAGTCCCATCTCTGCCAAAGACAAAGCCTGTGGTTTCCACCCACCTAGGCCTACTTTGGCTCACCTGGGGGGTTTGCCCTGGCCTGGGATGGCTGAGCTATCTCCTGTAACACAAAGAACAACAATAACAAAATATTACTCAGCCACTCCCAACCACTGGCCTGAAGCAGGGATGCAGGTTTCAGTTCTCTGAAAGAGTGAGGGAAGTTTTAAAGAGACAGAAAACAACTTTTTGCCATTTTTTTGGTCAGGCCATTCCCTCTATTACATATTCCCCACTCTCAATTTTATGCTTCCATATCCACGGGGGGTGGGAGGGGTGGGATACTCTGTTACAACTATGGCAAATTGTACCATCACTGGCACTTTTTGTTTGTTATTGTCAACAGAAAAAAACTCAAACTCTGTAAAATAATTTGAAGAGGTTTATTCTGAGCTGAGTTCATGTGACCAATGGCCTAGAGCACATGCTTTCTAGGGAATCTGTGAAAATGTGCCCACAGTAGCTGGGTTACAATTTGATTTTATATATTCATGGAGATGTAAATCTATACATAGAAGATATACGGAGTTTGGCTCAACAAAGTAAGACATCTCAAAGTGGAGGGGCAAGGGCTATGCAAGTTATATGTGGATTTAAAGGTTCTTTGATTTGTACAGAAATGAAGCTCTGTCTAAAGGCTTGGAAGGATTTAACTTAAAAAGGTCTATTAATCAGAGACAAAACACATTTACTGAAACTCAAGTGATCTGTTAGGTAAATTGATGGCTGATGGCCTGCAGGTGTGGTTTAAGCTTTGTCTTGCATGGCCATAAGCCTGTTAATGATTTAGTACCTTATTGTAACAAAGAGTAACTCCAAAAGGGAGGGGGTATGTCACAGCATGTTTAACTTCCCTTCCCATGACCAGCACCTCAGCTTTAAAGTTTTTCTGAAGTTCTCTTGGCCAAGAGGAAATCCATTCAGTCACCTGAAAGGCTGAAGATTTTATTTTAGCTCACATTCTCTTCACTACATGGAAAGAAATCCTAAGGATCCTCTTGATATGGCTTAATATCTCAGCTTAGAACAGAGGCATGGTAAATGGAAGTGTGAATTGTTTAATTCTTGGGTGTTTTCGCTCATCTCCAGGAGATTTCACAGGTAATGGGAGCCCAGTAAGTGATGGTTAACTTAAGATTACTATCATACTCCAATACCAAAGATTCCTGAAACAATATTAAATATCTTTGCTATAAATACATATTCTTTCTGCCCCCTTTTATGTGTTTGTCACAATTGTAATTACTTATACTGCATGTGAGGGTATACTTGTGAGAGTAGTATTTGATCCATAGCGAGTGTTGAATAAATGTTAGTTATTTTAACTAACATTTTAAATAACATTAGTTAGTTATTTTAACTAACTAATTTTAACTTGCCGTAGCATTTCAAGAAATATAAACCTAAATTTTGTTTTGGCATAAAGAGCTTTCTCCCAAAGACTTTAAGAAACATGGACTTTGTACTTTCTTTAAGTCCTCTTGTTTTATTCACTAAAGAATCCTTTCACTTCAACCTCCTAGCTATCTTCCTAATCGCTTTCCACCTTCATTGTCCATGGTCTTGCTTCAGGCCTACATTGTCTGCAATGACTTCTTAACTCATATCCTCACTTCTGAACTTGTCTTCTAAAAATCTTTCTTCCTTGCCACTGGACAGATGTTTCCAAAACACAGATCTGATCGTTCACTCATGGGCTGACTACAGGTCTTCAGTGGCTTTCATAGCCTATAAAATAAAGGTAAACTTTAACACAGCATGAAATGACTTGGCCCCTTTTCATCATTCTGGTTATCATTGAAACCTCATTTCCTACTCAACTGACTCTTGCCTTTTGCTTTCTTGAAAATGGTGTGTTCTGCCTTTTTGGTTCTGTCACATAACTCCCCCTTTGTTGAGAATACCTTCCCCCAACATCTTTGTCAGATTGACAAACTTATGCTTAGTCTTTAAGACTCAGCTCAAATAGCATCTGCTCTTATTAACTTTCTTGACCTCTCAACAGTGACTAGATTCTTATTTTTTTGTCTTCTGCTAGTTTCTTGTATTTATGATGTTTGATGAATCCATGACTGTCCCTGGGATCCTCATTAATTCCTCTCTATCTTTAGTGCACAAAGAATGTGGTATGTAATAGAAATTCAGTATACATTTGGTGAATTATTGAACTAAATAAGTATGGTTGTGCTAAATCTGGTCTTCAATATCCAAGACTTTGGGAGGCAGTGTGATGGGAATAAAGGTATTTATAGGTCTAGGGCCATTGGACTTCACTAAACCTAATTCTCTATGGGAGCATGTGGATCAAAACAAAATGCCTAGAAGTATCCCCTCAACTGCATAAAAAAAGGACAAGAAAAACAGCTTCTGTGGTAGCAATAGAGGGTCAAAAACTTTTATCAGAGAGTCAAGAAATTAGGTAATTTTGAAAGAGGGAAGGTACAGTGGGATTTCCAGAAAAACAAACAAACAAACAAATAGGATTGATGGTGGCTTAGGGGACTCATACAAGCCCAGTGACTTGTGAGACCTACAGGTTTTGAGTGGAGACTCACATGACACTGAAGAAACAGGGACCCAATCTTATCTACCACAGACTTTTGAGGGCTGAGACAAAAGTTTGTTTACACCACAAAACTTTGTACATCCTGTTTTACCACTGGCTTGAGTCTCACTCCAGGCACTGTATAAAAAAAATTGCAGACAAAGAAACCAGATATTTACTATTAACTGTTGTGTAGCTCCTACCTTTGGACTATGCTTAACTTGACCCATTTAAACTCCATTCAATTTACACTCCATTCTGTATCTGTGAGAGTCAGTGTATATATGTAGGTTTTTAACTAGGACCTTTCCACAAACATTTGTTCCTGAATGCCTTGTAGGAATGATGTGTGGCATTAGAGTTATTGAACTATGAGTTGAAGATATGTCTAAGATGAAAAATAGATGGAAAAAAGAAAGAAGGGAAAAGAGAAAGAAGGAAATAATATTTATTAGGCACATGTTATGTATCAGATTTGTTAACAGTTTCAACCATGTGAGGAAGTATTTTACAATAATGAGATTTTAGACTGAGGATCAAAAAAGTAAAATTACTTTATAGTCGGGGAGGACATTAGATCCAATTCTAAACCTTTTGTTTCCCAGGCCAATACCGGTTTTACAGTTAGTCAGAAAAGAAACAAACTCAAAGGGGATAGGGGGTGAAAGAGAGAGGGAGGGAAGGTTACAGAGAGAGAAAGAATAGAATTCTGTTACTGTGTTAGTGTTGTGGCAATGTGTACAGCTAGTGTTACAGCTCTTGACCAGGGAAAGAACTGAGTGGCACAGGAAGAGTGGTAGAATAGCCTTCATTCCTCCCCAGCAGGCTCAGAGCACCTAGTGTTACATCTCTCTTCTTGTCTTCCGACCTTCTGACCCTTCCGCCCCTTCTGCCCCCCTTGCTTGTTCTCCTCCTGCTTTTATACCCTTGGTAGGGCTCAAAAAGCGTCCAATCAACTACAAGCTTTAACATCCAATCAACAACAAGCGTTAACATACAATCAAAAACAAGTTTTAACATCCAATCAAAAACAGTGGGATTCCAAAATTACCCAATCAGGATTGCAAGTAGCATGGCCGGAAACAGACAGTGGCACAGGGGCCTGGGGGCATTCCGGCACAGGGGCCTGGGGGCATTCCGGCACACGGGGCCAGCAGCTCTCTGCCTCTGGTGAGGCCCCAGCAGCGTGCCCTTCAACTGGCCACACGAAGCACTGGCCCGTGGAGATGCGGAGCAATGGGGAGGCGGCAAGCGGTTGTGTCCTGGCGCCCGACATTTTCTGTATCATTAGGGATCCTAGAACTAAATTTCCCTTGTGTAGGTGGTTGTGATAATTGTGTGGGGTTTTTTTGTGTTATTTTCCTTTCTGAAGGCAGAAAGGTATATTCAGATTTAAGATGTTTGGAGACAGATTCTCTGTCACTTTTCACACACCACACAGAGAAATAAAGATAACTCTGACAAACCTGCCACGTCTCCTCCTCTACTACCTTGCCTTTCCTCAAAGAAGAATTCAACAAGAACAGACTCCCTCACTAAAATAAGGCATGAAACTCTCTCTAAGTCAAGAAAATAAGGAATACTTCTTCCTTGTGGTTGAATTTCCAGAGCCTCACATACTAATTGGAAGATAATTCGGGTCCAAAAAGGTTTTTAATGAATGAATGAAAGGAAGGAGTTATGTAAGTAGTCACAACACGTGCCTGAGTTTCACCTTCTCCTTTGAGTATTTTCTGTCTCTCTCTTTCCAGCTCTTTGTCTCTGTCTCTGTCTCTTTCCCTCTCTCTCTCTGGTTCTTCTGCCTTATAGGTCTCCAAAAGTCCACTAAGTACACAACCAATCTCCCTTCCCTATTCCGCCTTGGTGCAGCCAGGAAGGCCAGCATTCACTAAGAGAACCTTGGCTCACTAAACACCAATGGATAACAGAATAGGGCACAGATGACAAATACATTTCCAGGGTGGTTCAGCTGCTCCCTATCTACCCTCCTGCTCTAAGTTAGTAGAACAGCTGCCCAGCCACTTGGCCCATCTTTCTGCCTTCCTCAAAACTCAACCTGATTCAGTGTAAACAGTATTACTTTTTGTCTTTTCCTACCCTCTCCCTCCCTGATGTGTTTTCAGATAACTTGAACTCCCCCAAGTACAAATCCAGTGAAACCAGGCAGCACCTTCCCTTTGCTTCCCTCCTCTACAGCTGATCCTCATATCTGTTTCAACACTGGAATGCAATCTGAGAGAAAGTTGTACCCAGTTACTTTTGGAAAATATCCGAGCGGATAAATTATCTTCATGCACCATCTTCTTGTGTGCATATGCAAAAAACAAGAAGCTTGCATGGCCATCAGATGTGCCACTCAGATCTCCCCTTCAAGAGAGCCTACTATGAGAAACGTAGCTGGTTGGCAGCCTTCTGTCTCACCTTTGAATTTGCCACTGTGTTCACTCCGAGGTTATGGGATCTCCGAGTTGCTCGCTGGTGGCAGGAAATGACCCAGCATGATGGGGCTACTCGAGTTGGGCCACTTCTACCTCAGTCTTTGCTAGAGATCTTTCCCTTGGTCTGGCCAAGACTTTCTCAGAACTGCCCTATATTTTGAGACCTCTCCTACTCAGTCTTTCTTATTTTCCTCTCTTCTTTTACAGATACCACATCCACATCACACTGGGAACGGTCTCCCTGCTTATTTTTCTGTTCTTCATAGGCAATTCCCCAACACATCCCATGCACATCTAATTCCATTTTGGTGTATGTTTCTCAGAGATCTCAAACTGACACAAAGTATATGCTACAAAAATCACAGTCATTATGTCAATGCTGGGGTAAAATATTCTGTTTCTTATATAATTGGGGTATTTGTTTTCATTTTCCAAAGAAGTAGAACAAAGTCATAAAGACTTGAGATCAAATTCTGTCTTTGTCATTTACAAGCTTTGTCACTGAGAAACATAATGAATCTACGATTATCGAAACAATTCCTAAAATGGGGTTGGGATAAAAGGACTATCTTTGTCTGTGGTTTTAATTCATCTCAAATGGGAAAAGGATTAGGTACTATGGTTGTATTAGGAAATATTACAAAGCATAGAAAGTTCATGGACCATTTTAATAGATGATAAATCAATATTTGTTCTTACCTAAGATTTATCACCAAGTCAGAGTCTACATTCAAAACAACTGTAAAGAATGCAAAATGTTCTTGGAGCTAGATTGTCTGAGTTGAACTACTGGCCCTAGCACTTTCTAGCTGTGTGATCTTAGGCAAGTTACCTAACTTTTCTGTACCTTCATGTCTTATCTGTAAAATGGGAATAATAATGGTACCTTCTTCATAGTGTTGTTTTGAAGATTAAATAAATTTACATATGAAAAGACTTAGAGCCCTGTGTGGCACCTAGTAAGCAGTTACTGTTTGCTACTGCAAATTTCGGGGCCTTTTCCCCTTAATTAGTTGCTTCTCTCACCTTACCCCTGCCCCTCTCCCAAACTGCACATTGGCCACAGCGATCTTAATTGGATGCTAGGATGCCAACAGCCTCTCTTTCCAGCTCCCAATACACATGCACTTTTATTTATTTATTTTTTAACATTTTGGCCTTGTGGATTATAAATGATCATTTTCATTTTCAAGGTCAGGAGAAAATAAAAAGATATTTCAGATGCAATTAAATAAATATTGCCCCAAGGTATTTCTTAGACTTAAAAAAAATAAATATTAGATGTCAGCTCATTTTCTTTGATTTTCCTCTTTCAAAAACTAACCTTGCACAGTTAGTGCAAGTTAGGCAGAGCAGGGATAGAATCCTTGGTGATTAAAGGCTCAGCCTCTTGATTCACCCTTGAGTTTGATTCCACTTTGAACACTTCGTAGCTGTGTGACTACAAATAAGTTCCTTAACTTCTCTGAGCCTGCAAAAACATTGCCTCTCTTGGTAGTTGTTGGAAGAGTTCAGTGAGACAATTCATGCAAAAGGGGGCCCAGTTTACAAATCAATAAGGTCCTTCTTTATCCTCCTTGATTAACCTCCTCTAGGGTACAGTCCATGTATTAGACATTTTGTGTTTTCTCTCCTCAATGATTCCAGGCACAATCACTGAATTTACGTTAAGTCATGTATATGGAAATGAGAAAGAATGATTGTATAAGTTATCAAAACTGCCTGCCACTCTGAAGCATTATACATAAAGATGCCCCTTAAATATTATGCTTTATTTTTACCTAGAACTGGAAAAAAAGGACAGCACAACAAAAAGGCCTGCTAGGAAACAATGATGCAGGTGGGTGTGGGCGTTAAGCACAGCGGGGTCTGATCACAGAATCTAGCCAGCTATTTTTCTCTTCAGGATGGAGGAAATAAAGATACAACAGGGATCATAATTCAGAGCAATGCTTCCCTAAATTAGCGTGCCTTATGTCAAAATCAAGATTCCTATTCAGGAGCCTCTCTCTCTCTCTCTCTCTCTCTCTCTCTCTCTCTCTCTCTCTCTCTCTCTCTCTCTCTCTCTCGTTTTTTATTTCAGCATATTACAGTGGTAAAATGTTTAGGTTACATATATTGCCTTTGCCCCATCCAAGTCAGAGCTTCAAGCATGTCCATCTCCCAGATGGTGCGCACTGCATCCATTGGTGTAGTGGATGCAGGGATGTATACCCATCCCTTCCTCCCGCTCCACCTACCCAACACCCATGAATGTTCCACTTTGATTCCACTTTGAACACTTTAGCTATGTAACTATGAGTAAGTTCTTAACTTCTCTGAACCTGTAAAATGTTGCCTCCCATAGCAGTTGTTGGAAGAGTTCAGTGAGACAATTCATGCTAAAGGGGGCCCAGTTTACAAATCAATAAGGTCCTTCTTTATCCTCCTTGATTAACCCCTTCTAGGATATAGTCCATGTATTAGATATTGTGAGTTTTCAATGACAGAATCTAGTTAAAAGGACTGTGCACATTTTAACATGTTCTTTAAACATGAGGAAGCAAGCCTATTTTATCTAGAGCCTATGCACCTACGATATGTGCACTGATCAAGTGTTGATCAGTTAATACCAATTTTAGGTGAATACAAGTGGTGCTTTTTTTCCATTGTTGTGTGTATTAGAATGGACTCTAGCTCTATCCAGGATAATACAAGAGGTGCTAGATCACATTGTTGTTTTTTATTTTGTTTTGTTTTGTTTTTGTGGCTGAGCAGAACTCCATGGTATACATATACCACATTTTATAAATCTACTCATATATTGATGGGCACTTGGGTTGTTTCCACATCTTTGCAATTGTAAAATGTGCTGCTATAAACATTCTGGTACATATTTTTTTATATATAGAATGTATTTTGTTCTTTTGGGTAGATACTCAGTAATGGAACTGCTGGATAGGTCTACCTATAGTTCTTTGAGGTATCTCCATATTACTTTCCACAGAGGTTGTACTAGTTTGCAGTACCACCAGCAGCATATGAATGTTCCTATCTCTCCACATCCACACCAACATTTATGGTTTGGGGACTTTTTGATAAAGGCAATTTTCACTGGACTTAAGTGATATCTCATTGTGGTTTTGATTTGCATTTCCCTGATGATTAGAGATATTGAACATTTTTTCATATGTTTGTTGGCCATTAATCTATCTTTTTTTGAAAAGTTTCTGTTCATGTCCTTTGCCCACTTTGTGATAGGGTTGTTTCATCTTTTCTTGCTGATTTTACTGAGTTCTACATAGATTCTAGTTATCAGCCCTTTATCAGATGTGTAACATGCAAATATTTTCTCCTATTCTATATAGTTGTCTGTTTACTCTCATGATAGTTTCGTTGGCAGTATAGAAGCTTTGTAATTTGATCAGGTCCCATTTAGTTTTGTTGTTTCTGTGATTGC